CAAGCAGCATTTTCAGCCCCAGAACTGACACAGGCAGTGCAGTTGGAGCATGGAGTGCCACAGGCAGGTAGGAGAGGTCCAGCGTAGGCCGCATGTGTGTCTCTAAGGGAAGATTTTCTGCCTTGGATGATGCCTTGGAGGAGGACTCGAGAGACCTGGCACAAGCTGCTCTCTAGGTGTCTCTCTAGGAGGTGGAGGCTGGCGGCTGAAAATCCTTCCTGCCGAAAACCCAAGCAGGATTTTCAGCTCCGAGTTCTTCCTTTACTTGCTTAACGACTCATATGGTAATGACTGGAATGCTAGGATGGCAGTTGTTGAACTAGACAGTCATGAGATATTTTGCTGAACAAGGGCTTCATTCAGTGACTGAGATTCCAGTCGCAATTATGGTCTTAAGTTGAGGACTATTTGTATCTGGTTAATCTGATGTTCCAGTGGCACATGCGCCTTTCAAACGTGGGGTCCTTGGTGCTCTCGGAGCTGGGTTTGCTTGCAGAACTTTCATTAGCCTGTCAGGTAATGCCTTCAGGATGAGGGTGGGGTTTGCTCCCTTGTTGCTCCTTCCTCTTCTTCATTGTTCCCATTGGATTGCCATTGTCAACTCACATGGAGTTGGCTTTGGAAATCCACCAGTGGACTGGATTTGCACTCTGCCCTTTTCATCAGAAATTTCACTTGTTTTCCTTGCTTCCAGCGGTTAGAACATCTAAGGTATTTGATTCAGTTTTAACTCTTTTTATTTTTAGTCCAATGTTCCTCATACATATTCTATTTATCAATAAAAAGGGCAGTACCTTGGTACACTGCTTATCTGCTCCATATTCTACTTTAAAGCTACCATATTCTAACACTGTATCTTATAGTACATTGCAAACTAAACAAACTGATCTGAAGCGATGAAGGTGAACAGAGGCTGTGACTAAGGCCCCATCCCCATGCAATCTGTAACTGGGCCGCTCGTGTGTACCTATTCCATCCAATTTCATGTTTTACCACAGGAAAAAGGATTTTTTTTCCCTTGATGCTCCAAACAGAGGATGGGAGCTCTCCCATCCTCTTTTGTCCTGACTCCCCAGCAGTGGGTCAGTGGGGGGCCTGCCTTTACATCCACCGAGCAGAAGCAGAATGACAAAAGAGAGGAGGAGGAGGAGGCCCTTTGGCCGTCCTTCTGTTCGGATCCTGCCCTCCCTTCCCTTTTTCTGCTCAGTCCCTAGTTTCTATTCCTTGTTTCAACCTCGTTACCCTTCTTTGAACTGATTCCCAGTTCTCTTAAATGCTATGGCCACAACTGGACCCGGTCCTGGGGGTGGGCTCTGACCAAAAAATGGAAGACGATGCATTGCTTGCTGCAATTAATGAAGCATTTCCGTGGATACAGCCTAAAATAACTGATTGATATGTGAAATTACAATGGAGCTGAAGGAGGGGCGCTTGTGATTGGTCCTCGGAAGGATAGCTGTTTCAATATCCCCATTGTCACACAATTGCGATCCAGGCACTCCAGCCGGCCACAGTCGATCATGATCACAATCGATCGTGTGATTTGCAACCTTCCCTGCTGAGGAAGCCAGCAAAGGGACGCCAATAGAATAGAATAGAATTCTTTATTGCCCAAGTGTGATTGGACGCACAAGGAATTTGTCTTGGTGCAAATGCTCTCGGTGTACATAAAGGAAAAGAGACATCCGTCAAGAGTCAAGAATCATCAGGTACCACCCTTAATGATAGTCATAGGGTACAATAAGCAATCAAATCATACTAGGAAACAGTCCATATAAATCGTAAGGATACAAGCGACAAAGTTACAGTCCTACAGTCACAAGTGGGAGGGGATGGGTGATAAGGAGGGATGAGAAGATTAGTAGTGATAGTATTGCAGACTTTGTAAATAGTCCTCCCATAAGTTGCACTCCTCCCTTTATCTCCCAAAGCAGCCCTGCTACAGAATACAGCCAGCCAGCCACGCACTCACCCACACATGCTCTATAGCGCCTGCCTGCGGCATTCCCCCAGCTGCCAGTCAGTCTGCTTGCCCAGGTCTCCTGTCACATGAGGTCCTCTGAGTGACTCACAAGGCCTCTGAGTTAGGATGGGGACATGGACACCATCACGGGTTAGGGCTGCATTGCCTAGTGATGGAAATTCCGGGCCCAGCTGTCCTCCTAATCCAAGGGCTTCCTAGGCCTTTTTCACAAGCACCATGCCCAGGCCAGGGGTCCCCATCCCACATTAAGCATTCATTTCCCCAAAGGGAACACCTTCGCACGTCTTTCTGTTAAAATTTAATGTTATTACTGCGGTTAAACTGGGAGAAGACTAAAAGGCAATGTTATTTGAAAATTCCAGTCTGGGTATCGGCTATTGAAGCTTTTTCTTATCCTATAATATACAAAAAGGAACAAACAGTTAGATATGGTGAAATATTGAATGAAAAGGGTGAACTTAAATCTATGCAAAAATTAGAAGAACAAGGTATAAAGATGAATTGGTTTTCATATGCGCAAATACATTCAAGGTATGATAAAGATGCTAAAACAGAAAGTTTCTATGATAAATTGGCTGATTTAGATAAGATTTTGACAGGTACTGATGAAAAGGTGATTAAAAAATTGTATGGGTATCTATTAGAAATTAAACTAGAAGAAGAACAATTTAAAGAAACTGCTTGGGGGGGGAAATTTTGGATATGGGATTGATCTAGAGAAATGGCAAAAATTGTGGTCTCAAAATTATAAAATGACATTGTCAACAGCATATAAAGAAAATTTGTATAAGATGTTTTACAGGTGGCATTTCCCCCCAAAAAGAATAGCAAGAATGTTCAAGAATAAATCTGAAAAATGTTGGAAATGTCATCAAGTACCTGGCTCATATTACCATATGTGGGAGACTTGTGTAGATGCCAAAAAATAATGGACTAAAATCCACACATGGTTGGAAAAAATGACAAAAAGGATATAGACTTGAGATATTTTTACTGGGAATTTTACCTGAAATATATAGTAAAGACTTGAAATACCTGATTGTAAATGTATTAACAGCGGCTAGTATTTGCCAAAAACGGGAAAAATGAGAAAGTACCATCACAGGAGGAAATTATTAAGAAAATATTGGAATGTGCTGAAATGAGTAGACTGACATTTGAAATCAGAGAACAAGATGATAAACAATTATATAAAATTTGGGATCTATTCTATCAATGGTTAGACAATAAAACATGGTAATGAAATATGTAGATTTTTAGAACATAATGAATATATAAAAATGTATTTTTTTATTATATCTACAAAATGATTGTAGGATAGATCTGAGATGATAATATGAACTGTCACAAAAGAAATAAAATAAAATATGGATTATCTTGTTTAATATGAATGAATAATAGTATAGTCAAATGATTGATTAATAATATTAATGTATTTAGGAATATTTGATTGACAATATGAGAATATATACAACGTAATTGTAATTGAAGACTATGAAGTGGAAGCACAAAACAATTTGTAAACCAATCGACACACTGCATGTATATATATGGAAGATGGCTTGATGTTTTTATGTTTTGTTTGTCTATGTTTGTCTTAAAAAACAAGAAAACTTTATAAAAAAATTTTTTAATGTTATTACTTTGGCCTCATCCTGACACTCCAGCACAGGGCTCTCAGACTCGCGGCCCATGTTGGCCATGCCCACACCCGGTTTAGCGAAGGAGGGAAAAGTCCTGGTACGGGAGGCAACGCGAGTTTGACACCCCTGATCTAGCATGATTGATGGAATTCTATTTCTGTCTTCTAGGATGGTAACTATCCCCAATGCAATAAGCACCCTCACTCCCCTCTCCCCACAAGCCATTCCTGAGAAGAAGATCCTGTAAGTCCAGGGGATGGGCCTGGGCTGATCCTTGCGGCCATTCGCTTTGGACCTCCCTCACCAAGTTCTGTGGACGAGCAAAGCTTTTGAGCCACTCTCTCTCCACTTGTCCCCCAGCTGCCCAACTCTCCCTTTCCCTTGCTATCAGAATGAGAAAGTGCTTTGCTGAAGGTTAAACCCTCCAACCAGCTGGGAGGGGGAGGGTGTGTGTGTGTATGTGTGGGTGGCTGTATTCTCCAAAGTGCCCGAAGGCAGGACAAGCAGTGACAGGCAGAGGCCCCTGACACAGGGCCATCCAAAGGGTAGTTATTTATTCAATCCATGGGCCACATTACATCTCATTTATCATCATAATGTCCTTACCACCACCAAGCAACATCTGCCTATCCCAGGTCCTTGGAAAGCATAACCTCAGGTCTGCTGGGGACTTCTGGAAGCCTCCGCATCTGAAGGCCATTCCGGCTGAGAATCTCTATCCTGGGCAGTTCACAAGCAATGGAAACATTGTTTTTATTGAGTATCCTACTGTGATTTATATTGATTGCTTCTTCTGGTATCCTGTCACTGAGTATTGAACCTTATGATTTATGAGGTTTGTATTTTATAATTATGATCATGATTTATCACTTGTTACTTGTATATGTACACTGAGAACTTACCCACCGGAGATAAACCCCAATCACACTTTGCCCCCCAAAGAATCCTATTCTATTCCAAAAAACAACCACCACGCAGAGCTATTAAAAGCAAGGAGGGTTTTCGGACTGCGATGTACTCCCTCTGGAGGTCAGGCAGGGGTTCAACGGGGGCGGGGCAAGCCTAGCTCGGGCTGTCATTTGGCAATGCACGCGAGGGGCGGCGGGCTGGACTAGAGCATCTCCGAGACCCCATGACGTCAGGCATCCAGCCAAGCGCCGGTCCCGCCAAGGACCCGCTGAGCGACCGGAAGCGACCATGACGTCAGAAGCCACGGGATTTTCATGACGTCAGAAGCCGCGGGCTTTTCCCAGCCTCGAGTGATCACAGCGCCAGCCAGTGAGCGGCCGCGAGAGAGGCGGGACAAGAGAAAGACGGACCGAGAGCGAGACTTCCCGGGCGTGACGTCATCTCCGCCGTGTTGGAAGGGAGGGGCAGCAACGAGCGGCAGCCGCTTGGGTTGCCGGCTTCCCTTCCGCGGATCCCGCCCGGGGTCCGTCCGCGCGTGGTTGGAGCGGCCGCCGTGGCCGGAGAGGCGGGGGGCGCCATGGCCGAGCAGGACCTGCTGGACTTCCTCCTGCGGGAGGAGCTTTTCCTGGGGGACGAGCCGGGGCCGCAGCCAGAGCCGTGGGGCTTCCCGCAGTCGCAGGTGAGCGGCGGGCCGGGCAGGGCCGGCCGGGCGGGCGGTGCCCTCGGCTGCCCCTGGTTGCTCCTGCCGCCTCTCGCCCCGCAGGTCCCGGGCGGGCAGGAGGACGAACTGGAGGAGCTGCTGCGGTGCCTCTGGAGCCCCTTCTGGGAGGAGTCGGACAGCTCCGCCGAGCCCTCCGGCCAGAGCAGCCTCGCCGAGGACCGGAGCCCGTCTCCCGCCAGCAGCCTCCCTGGCTGGGGCCGCGTGGAGTCGGAGCACAACTACTCCCTGCCCCCGACTGCCCCCGCGCCGCACACGGAGCCCTCCTGGGAGGCGGCCGAGGGCGACGTGGCCATCGATCTGGGTGAGCGGGGCAGGCGGAGGCTTCCCGGCGGCCCGGGCTGAGCTGGGCCGGGGGCTGCAGTGGGCCGAGAGGGGAGCTGGGCTGCCCTGCCGCTTCCTTGTGCGTGGCGCAGAGGAGGGAGAAATGGCTGGGAAGGAAACTGCCGAAGCCGCAGGAAGAAACGGCCGCAGCACCCGGAAGAGCCAGCTGAGCCCAAGGCAGCATCCAAGCGGGGACAGCTGCCTCTCCCGCTCTACTTCTCTGGCAGGGAGGAGAGAGAAAACCGCTTTCCCACGTGCAAAATCCTGGCTTCAGTGAGGCATTTGATAAAATAGAAGGAACCCCTCCCCCCTTCTTGGTAAGACAGAACAAGGTGTGATAGACAGACAGCATCACCCCCAGGTGGATAGGCAACTGCCCTCCACTGCAGTGCCTCCCTGGAAGGGCATCTCCAGGGAGGGGGGAGTGTGCCGGCTGTCTTAGGCCCAGGAATCTTCAGTATTTTCCATCAGTGATTTAGAAGAGGGGATAGAAGGGAAATTCATCAAACTTGGGGATGACACCAAGCTGGGGGGAATTGCCAGCGCTTTAGAAGTTTAGATGATAGACGGATCTCGGCAGACTTCAGCCTTGGGCCCTCTCCAGCAACACACACTAGTCAGGGGTGCGGAAAGTAGGGCCCCACATGCAGGCAGCGTAATCCAGTGCATGGGGGGGTGGGGGATGGAATAGGAGAGGGGTGCCTCACTCAATTTCACTGAGGGCCGCATCAGGGTTGTGTTTGAACTCTGGGAGGGTGGGGTGGGCGTGGCCAGGGTGGGTGTGGCCAGCGTGACCTCACTTGATGGCCCCCATGCTCTGCCACTGAAAATGGGCTCCCAAGCTCCGTTTTTGGCTGCGACGGCCTCCTGCACCCTCTGCCAGTGGAAACGGAGCTTGGGTGAGCCACACTTTCTCTGCCAGAGGCACAGTGGGCCTGTCGTTTGCTATTTCCAGAGTGGCCAGATCTAATCACCCCACAGGCTGGCCCCGGGCCTCAAGTGACAGCCCTGGAACAGGAGGTACTTGGCTCAACAGTGGTAGTAACTGAAGGGGACCTGGGCCTCTGGGGGGGTCACCGCTTGAGTAGGAGCCAGCAGTGTGCTGCAGCTGCCAAAGGAGCCAACCCGGTCCTAGGCTGCATCAACAAAGCATGTTGTGTGAAGATGGTGTGAAGCGTCTATGTGAAGGGTTGGTACTGCTCTGGAAAGGCCACACCTGGAATAGTGCATCCAGTTTTGGTCACCACAATACAAAAAAGATGTTGAGACTAGAAAGAGTGTAGAGAAGAGGAACACAAAGGAGACTAGATGGACCATGGGGGGAGGTGACTGTGGAAGGACTAGGGGTGACAGGATGGCAGGGGGTCCAATATTTGAGGAGCTGCCACAAAGAAGGGAGGAGGGCAAGACAAGAAGCAACGGAGGGAAGCTTATCAAAGAGAGATCCAATCTAGAACTAAGGAGAAATTTCCTGACAGAAGAAACAGTAGAACGGTTTGTCTCTGGAAGTTGTGGATGCTCCAACACTGGAGGTTTTCAAGAAGACAGCCGTTTGTCCAGAATGGGATAATGTTTCCTACTTCAGCAGGGGCTTGGACGAGAACAGTGATGGCGAACCTTTTGGCTACCAAGTGCCCAAAGGGTGTGTGCCTGCTTACCCAGAATGCAAGGTGCACCCCCCACATGTGCTCACCCCCACGCATGCACAGCAGAGACCCGAAGGCCAGTTGGCCAGCGGGAGGTGCACACGTGTGCGCGTTGGAGCTGAGCTGGTGCGCGTGCCTACAGAGAAGGCTCCGTGTGCCACCTGTGTCATATGCCATGTGCCATAGGTTCTCCATCACTGGACTGGAAGCTCCCCAAGGTCCCTTACAAGCTTGTTATTCTGGGCCTTCAGCTCCAGTCTGCTCCCCTTGATATTTCCTGCCCCCCACACCCCACACCCTGGCTTCTGCAGGTGGCCCCTGATTCAGCATAAGCTGCCTAGCCCTACAAAGGGCTTTCACACCCCAGGCCCTTTAAGGAAATGTGGGGAGTGCAATTTTAGCAAAGCCCCCTAGATCCAGAGAGGCTAATCTGGGGGTTTGGCCCACGAAACGCTCTTAGTGGCCTAATGCTACAAAACCTTGACTCGGGTCGGAAATTGTATTCTCAGAACTCAGTCTTACGGGGGCTTCCTATGGCTCTGTGCCCCAGCTGGCTTCCCCCAACCCTTGGACCAACTGCCTACGCTGGCATCCCAGGCTGGGCCCATCGGGACCCATCCGCCTCAGTAGCTGGCTGGTTCTGCCAACAGGCCAATGCTCTGGAGCCTCCCACTAACCAGGCCTGCTCTAGCCGGCTTGGTGTCTGGTGTGAACCCAGCCCCAGGACAGGGGTGAGGTTTGCCCTAGGGAGGGGGTGGTTCCCGGTGCTGCCACTTGCACGGTTTTCTCTTTCCTCTTCCAGAAATGCAGGCAGACGTGGAGACCGCTGAGGGCCTCGGCCTTCCCACCGCAGCACTCTCAGCAGAGGCCCCGGTAGGAGGAGGCATGCAGGTAGGCCGCCTGGCCAGGCCGCCCTTCTGGAGCCCCTCACCCCTGGGGCTTCCCAGGCCCTGACAAGCCCACCCCTCTTCTGCTTTTCCAGCTGGACTTCCCGCTGCTGGTCCTGACGGAGGAGGAGCAGCAGCTCCTGGAGAAGGAGGGCGTCTCGATTCCTTCCCACTTGCCCCTAACCAAGGTGGGCTCCCCTCACCTAGCCGAGGGACACCCAAAGGCACCAGGGAGAGAGAAAGCCTGCTCCCCCGCTCTTGGCTCCAGGAGGGGAAGGGGGGCCTCCCGGGCAGCGGAGGAGGGGCCACTGGGCTCAGGGCTGGAAGAAGCCTTGGCAGGCAGGCAGGCAGGCGGGCTGAAAGGCAGGGGCTGCCCAGGGGAGGGGAGGGGGGCCCTTGGCTGACCACCCCCAACCTCTGGGCTGCCAGGCAGAGGAGCGGGTCCTGAAGCGAGTCCGGAGGAAGATCCGCAACAAGCAGTCAGCCCAGGACAGCCGGCGGCGGAAGAAGGTCTACATGGACAACCTGGAGAGCAGGTGGGGATCCCCGGGCAGCAGAGGGGCGGGGAGCGCCCCCTCCTCCTGAGGCAGCAGGGCAGGGCATTCCTTGCTTCCCCTCCCCTCTTGCCACCCTGTCCAGGCTTCCTCGCTGACCCCTCTCTCTGCAGGGTGCTGGCCTGCACGGCCCAGAACAGCGAGCTCCAGAAGAAGGTGCAGCTGCTGCAGAAGCAGAACACGTGAGTTGGGGCGGGGGGTGGGGGCACCCTCCTCTTGAGGGTTCTGCAGGCTAATTGGGGGGTGGCCGTAGCAGCCCTGCCCTTTATTTGCCTGCACGCGGATCGAACGATGTGGAGACCACCCCACTCCATAGGGGTGCCGCCCTGGGCTGAGCCTGGAGGAGCCTGGTTCAGGGCAGGGGGCTCCCTGCTGCAGCGACATACCCCCACCCACCCACCCACACACACGTACACACCCTGGGGTGCAGCTGAGGGTGAGTCAGCCTTGCTCTGTTGCAGGTCCCTGCTTGAGCAGTTGAGGAAGCTGCAAGCGCTTGTCCAGCACTCGTCCACCAAGACGGCTGCGGCCAGTACCTGCGTCCTGGTGAGTTTCTGTGCCTCCAGCCCGCTGGCCGGCCCTCCCTTGTGCCCCTCCCGTGGGCCAAAAATGGGAGCTGCCAGGAGGGGGCACGTCTTGGCTGTGCCAACTGCGGTCTGATGGCCTTGCATCCCCTCTCTGCCCAGGTGATGGTCCTCTCCTTCTGCCTGGTCCTCCTGCCCAGCCTCTGTCCTCTGGGTGGCCAGAAGCAACCCCTGGGGCAGCAGCATGGAGGTGAGTCTCCAGGGCTGGGTTGGCCCCTGCAACCTCAGGGTGGAGCCCCCCCCC